AGCAATATGTGACGATGCCAGCATGTGCATGCACACAAGGGGTGGTAGAGGGAAGACTTTGTAGGAAGGGAAGTGTCCCTTCTTTAATTCTTAGATGCAACAGGATAAAGGGTACAGATGTAGAAACACTTTGTTGTTCTCATTTCTGTGCTAAAAAGAGCATAACTTAACTAGGCACTGTTTAGAGATTACAGGTCACTGTGGCATTTTGAATGTTGATTAATGAAATGCAGAAACAGTTCTAAGAGTCAGTGGAAGTTTGTCATATGGTTTAATCTGTCTTAAGTCTGGCCAGAATGCCTGAAAAGGCAAAGTTAGAATAGATAGAGATTTAGATTGTAAAGAAAAAGTAGGAATTTTACTTCTCTAAAATTCTTTGAAAATTGCATTTATAGTGTTTGTAGTGCATGCAAATGTTTGCATACATACAAATTTAACTGGCAAATAGGTGTGCAGAACTGGAATCTATCTATTTCATGCATTAAACAGCTATTTTCCTCATTAACATCACTAGTGGCTGATTTAAAAGCTCTAATACTGACAATCAGAATTATATATTTAGGAAATTATTCACTACTTATTACTTCTTTCCGTGTCCTGATTTTTTAAAACTATTTTTGAAAAATTTTAAAGTAACAAGAGACATTCACAAAGACTTTGGGAAGCTTCTCCTCAAAAACTGAAGTCTGCCAAGTAAGTGACTTAGTTTTCATCATGCATTAGAACAATGGCCTGATTTAATATGACAAAGTAGACACTGTTAATGAGGTATGTCCTCAGTTCACCCCATTTATCACTGTAAAGTACAGAAGTTATGCTGCAGTCTAATTAAAGGTGAAGCCAGTAGCTTGACACTTTCCAGAAGATGACCCTGTTTCAGTTTCTTGTGCTTTTGCCAAAGCATTTGGAATGAAATGTTCTGTGCTGAAGAGTCACCTGAAAAGCATTTCATTTTATTTATTTACTCTGAAATTCCCTATAGAGAACGTCCCTCCGTTTCCGAGATTGCAAGTTGCAATCATTTTATGGAAAAATTTTCAGTCTGTCCTCAAAGTGAAGACCTAGATATTTAGCTGCAAGATTTCTCGTTTATGAAGGGTACCTTTTTTTGTCTAGGTGAAGGAGGGAAAAGAAAAAAGAACAACGTAAGTTCAGAGTTCAGCAGTTACATTCTCGTCAGGGTCCATGCACCTCTCAGAGTAGAGAGTGAAGGAAACTACACCATCTTTAGGCAGGGAAGCCAGGAGCAAGCTAAAGCACAGTATAGTCTGCTCCAGGGGCATTCACATTGCTTGGTTGTAGGTAGTCTAAGCTGAGGTTGCTTACAAATTGCAGTGCAGGAGGAGCTGGGGCTGCAAAACACACACAGGAAAGACTATGAGCTTCTATGAGTCTGGAGGCCTTTCCAGAGCTGAGGCTGATGCTCCAGTTGATGCTGGAGTAACTTAAGCACACGAAAACTGTTAAAAGAATGCCATGGGTAGCAGAGAAGTCCACGCTGCACATTCAGAAGCATTAGCCCTTAACAAGGCCTGCGCGTGTCTGCGCTGGATTGAGTCTTCCGTTACGTGCTCCTGTGGGATATCTGTTAGGTATGATCAAGAGTTAGAAAAGGTGAAGTATGGTTTTGTAAGAAAGGGATTTGTGCAGAGAGCAAAGCTGTGTCTTAATCAGGTTGAGTGTTGCAAGAGGGTGTTAAGGTTAAGAAACTTAAAATCTGCCCTACAAGACCGAATCTTTCATATCACACTTTGGGGTAGTTCTGGATGGTGCTATAAAATGTTGAACACTCGGAAAAATTAAGTTCTCAAATTGCTGGTTGGCACCCAGTTGTTATTCACATCCTACACTGAACGTGCATTGTGTGCCTTGTGATGTTATTCAGCCCAAGTTTTTAGAACAATTCTCCAGCTTTTGTTGTTGTATTTATCTCCAGCTGTTTGGTATCAAGTCCAATGACTTAGAAATGAAACTCCTTTTCCACTGACAGAACCTCATTACCTTATTTCGCAAGCATGCTTCAATGAAGTAATTTCTTGCAGTGCTGCAACTATATGCAGTCTTGGGACATTAGTAACTACAAAAGTATTCCTCCTGCAATCTTCAAGCATGCAGGTTGCCTCAGAGAAGATTGCTACAGTGAGGCCTGGGTCTAACCGGCATGGTGGTGTTCTCTTGCTTGCTGAGCTAATTTTTTGGAAATACTTCATTTTGATTAGTAGCATGTGCATATTGAAGCACACAGATTAAAGTAAAGTATAAGAAACATGGCTGAAATTCCTAAAGAGCTCTGCAAAGTCAAGTGTATGTGGTCCTGATTTAAATGGGGAGCTGTGCCACATATTGAGAGGTCCATCAACAAAAGCTGGAGGATAGGCCTAAAACCCTTGCTAGTAAATGTTTGCTTAAGTTAGCAGAACACTGGTGAAACAGGCTGCAAGGAGTTACCTAATGTCAGCAGAAAATGGTTCTGGTTGCATTACTGCTAGGCATGTGTTGAGGTTCATTAACCTGTCAGCTCTCTGGTCGTTCTCAGACAGGAGGTGTGGCCTGGTGCCACTCAGTACGTTAGCAGGAGTGGAACCGTAGCGATAACACCGTATGGAACGGCAGCCAAAAATAACTCTGTCTTTGACTTTCCTGGAGATGCTCGCTGCCAGTGCCCAGGGCCCTGGCCAAGCCAGAGGTGGCCCTCGCTGGCACAGTAGCTGCTGATTCACTAAGTGCTGAGCCCGTGACACTTCCCCAGAATTTGCTTCATAGGTTAGAAGCGACGCGCTGATTATTTGGTCACTCTGTCAGAGAAACGCTTCTGTTTGAAATAATAATCTTACTAGTGAATTGCATTTGGCTTAAATGAAACAAAGATGTCATCTCTTCAGAGCAAGTATTTATATAGTGCTGTATCAGACTGAAACGTGTACCTGCTGATATTAACCTGTGTCTCAGTGCAGAATAACAATAGCCTTACCTGGCCCATGTATAGCAAGTATTGCCAAGGGGAAGTGGTTTTAGCTATCAGAAAAAAATAAGCCCAAACCTTGCATATAAGACACAATGATCGTGAGACATGCCGTCAGTATGAAAATTTGATTTATTATGTTTTTGAAGCAATGTGCTTTTGATAAAACATTGCAATAGCAATTAGCAGCAGTAGCAACAGGGAAAGGACTATTAACTCTCACCAGGGTTAGCCCAGGTTCCTTGAATAAATGTTTACTAGCATTTATAATACAGAAGGCCTTTTATTCAAATAGTAGCTGTATTTGAATGATGCTGTAAATGTGTGCACATCTAGGGAAGAGAGAAAAAAAAGAGAAATGCCCTCTTCATTCTCCTTCCCACATCCCTTCCAGTGGGGATTCAGTAGCTGCAGAAGACAGACTGGCTGTTCTCAGTCATCACTGGTACACCTAGAAGTGATAGATCAAGGTCTTCTTGTCGGTTTTCCTGTAGCTCCGTCCTTGGGTCAGGATGTGAGTGAGGCTGCCAGATGATACCTTGGCTTCTCTCACAGGGCAGAAACCCTGATTTCTGATCTCCTGCAGCCTCAACACGGACTTCTGGTCAGACAGCCACATTCCTAATCTCAGATACGGCTTGGCAGTGAGTTCTGCCTCCATCTCTTTCTTCTTGGCTTCTCCCCCAAAGCAGATGAAAACAACATAATAGCAAGTTTATACAAGACAAATAGGCAAAAATCGATGATTTTCTTCTTTGCAGCCTGCATTGTGGGTATCATTATTGTTATTACTGTTGTCATAGCTATTACCATGCATGTCAGAATATGGTATCCTGCTGTGTCCCTGCTTGTGTCACCTTACTTACATCTAATCTGTAGCAGTTACACCAAAACATGAAGCCAATGGTACATAGAAGGCTTTTCATTATTGCAGATAATACAGTGTCTCTTCAGCTGCTATTTAAGGGCATCAGGTTTATTTCTCTGCGGTGGCTTTGATGGGTGGTCTTTGTGCTTATCATTAAATCACTCTTGGTCTAGCCTGGGATGTCTGATTAATCATCTCCTGGCCTAGGTTGAAAACCGAGTGTTAAATTCAGGCTTGAGCTCCCTGCAGCTTTGGTTCCCGTTCAGGCTTACAACTCTTGAATAGTAAGTTGGCTATGAAATAATCCAGCGTAGACATGGAAATTAAAGTTAAGGCTGATATTTACAGAGGGAACAAACTGTGTTGCCTGCAGTCTGTTATTGTTGCCCAGAGACTAGAGAAGCTGGGGATCACAGATCTACAGAAAAGGTTGCTATGGCATTTATAAGAACGTATTGAGCACTGGACTGAACTCCCCTGGACATAAAGGATTTCTGCAAATTCTATCATGTGCTGGGTTTTGTGCACATTATTTTGTGTTCTGGAGTATAAATATCTAATAACAAATACATTTAAAAATAAAACCCAGCAAAACTAAACCCCTAACCAAAACAATACTAAAAAGCACCCTCTCACAAAACAAGATGCTCTACGTGGAAGAGACTATTTGCAAACATTGTTCAGATTGTTTCATGTAGAGGGTGCTCTCACTTCAGCAAGGAAGGCGCTGCAAGAATTTACAGACAGTTTTTTTAGTTGTTCCGTAACTACTGGCATTTCTGTCCATTTAGAAAGATCTTGGTAGCACCTTTCGAGACAGTTGCAAAACATCCTTACAGAGAGAAGCATTGGTCTTTCTTGATGAAGATGATTTGGAAAAACAGTAAGAAGTAAATTGTTGGCTAATAAATGAGTACAGTTCACTTTAGTCTTCATCAGGTTTCATTAGTGCAGTTTGATGACATCAGCTGATGGCATTACTTCCTTGCTATATGTAATGGGGTAAACTCACAGCTCTTTTTTGTATTCAAGCAGAGGTACCACATTTCAAGTGGTACTTTAGGCTGCTGTTCAAAATTTGAATATTAATTACCTTGGACTGTGAGCTCCAGCTGGTAAACTGTGCTATGGGTAGTCATATCATTTTACTTATGTGTTTCATTTCTGTAGGGCATTTGCTTGGGCTTTCCCATGATGACTCCAAATTTTGTGAGGAGAACTTTGGCTCCATGGAAGATAAGCGCCTGATGTCCTCCATCCTGACTAGCATCGATGCTTCAAAACCCTGGTCCAAATGCACTTCAGCAACTATCACAGAATTTTTCGATGATGGTCATGGTATGTATTATCACTCCTTGTGTCAGCTACCTGTTAGTTTTTACTGTGATCTATTTTTTAAATAAGAACATTTTTGCACCAGCTTGTTCGTTCCTTGCTCATCTTCAGGACTATCTTGGAAGTGATTGCAAAACAAGGCAAAGGTCTAAGAGGCTGGCAGAGTCTCACCCTCCCTTTGCATGGAAGTAAAAAAGCAAGAGTTGATGGAATGTGTGTTGGCAGTAATTTGGTCTGGAACACGGAGAGGTTTTTGTAAAAGCATGAAATTAGTCTTGTCTTCCCAAATGCCACAGATATGAGCTCAGAGAGTACTTCAAACAGAGGACAGAAGGAAATGAGTTTTTCCTCACAGAAACTGAAATGGATGGTATGGTCCACTTAGCATTACACTACAGATAAGAGCAGAGTGTATTTGTTCTTGTTACCATTAATGACATTTATTATGTTTATAATGCTATTACATTTATAATACAATTGTATTTATCGTGTTTATGTGGGGGCTGTAAGCAACATTTAAGACTCCTGTGTGTTGTATAGGATAAAAAATTACTTCTGCTCCCGGAGCTTACCTTCCAACTCATGTAACTAATATTTCATAAATATCTCATTTACCCTTTGGAGTTTAAGTGCAAAACTTTCATTTTCCAAAAATAGTAATAAAAAAGCATAGTCTTCACTCTTTAATGAATTTTAAAGTCTTACATTGGACTCCCAAAGCAACTGCAGTCCTTAAACAAAACATTCGAATTCCAAAACGCTGAGATAAAAATGACATAATTGAGTGAATGGATCAAGTTGTTATGGTTACCAAAATGCTTATGGATAAAAAGTATGGTGTGTCTGCTGAATGTAAAAGTTCTCTTCATTTTAAATATTTTGTTGGCTAATTTCAGTGCTTTCTGAAATATTTTCTCCTGTTCTCCTCTATTGGAGAATGACTTCATTTTTTCTCTCGCTTTTATTAGATCCATTAATCTGTACTGTCCTGTTTTATGGTCTATATTGCTCTGACATTGACTTAATATTGCTGAGTTAGTTTCCGCATGTGAAGAGAACTTTCCCTTTTGAGTTTAGTCACTGAGGTACAGTACACTTCACTGGGGTAACTAAAAGGGACCTCCTTTGCCATCCATGAATGACCTCTCAGGGAGCACAAGGAACTCTGCACTGCGTTGCCTCTTCTGTTCCCCTCCTGCTGCAGGCGAGTAGAAAGGTTGTTCTCATTTTTTCCCTTTTTTGGTGACATGACTTCTCTTTACTCTGCATCCAGCTGGCTACTCGCTTCAACAATAAAGAAGCAAAGAGAGCATTTCTCCCACACACCTTGGCTTTGGTTCATTTTACCTGAGGGGTGCATGAAAACTGGACCCTTATCCAGGAGCTGGACCCAGTCTCAGTGTGGAAGTTAAAGAGGGCTGTAGCAAGCAGTCCTACAGATCTAAGAATATAACCATCATATCTTTTTTGTAAGAGTAAGTAGGAACTTCACATCTTTCAGAGCTGCTTTATGGTCTCCTTGTTCACTATGAGTGCCGACTTCCTGTACAAGTGGTTTGATAGTCCTCAGCTGCTGACACTTGTCCCAGAGTCATGTATTCTTGGCTGCATGTAAAGGGATTAGGATGTGTCAGTCTGTTAATGGGTGAGTTAGGGTACATTGCCCTTTCTGAGGCTCACGAGAAGATATCACTGAGGCATGTGGTCTCCAAGAGTAATCGATGTGATGAAACCATTCATAGAGAACGTGAACCTCTCGTCATAGAGTTCCATCGTCCTCTAGGAGTTAATTTTATTACTGATGTTATTGGTGTGATTTCAAATAGACAATGTTTAGGGAATCTCTTTTTTTGATAGATCAGGCCTTCAGAGACCGCTTCTAACTAACAGTCTCGCTTTTCTGTTGAAGTTTATAATTTTTCAGGTATTTATTTTAAATCAAAGATTTGTCTAAATAGAACACAAATGCTACCTATGAAGTAAAAATGGAAGCCAGCGATTTAAATTGCATTTACTTCAGATTGTTCTGCTGAAAGGACACGCGTTATTTTAGGAAGGGAACTTCTGTTTTTCAGTTCTTCCAGCCAGTGAATGAACGCAAAGCTCCATAATTCCCATTTGTAAGGTATGCTGAGTGTACCAGAAACCACAGGATCCTAGCCGAGCATGACAGTCCCTTTCAGACTGCTTTGGACTTGATAACAAAACAGTGCCATGAGCCGTATTTCCGTGTTGCCTTCAAAATAAGCACGCCTCTGCTTTTTTGGGTTGCCCATTGTTTCTTTATCTGGGGCAGATGTCCTGTTACATAGTTGCAATGTTTTCCCTCACTTTTTGTTTCCAAGAAGGAGCTCACCTGCAGTCTATCCATAGACAGAAGACAATCCATCTCTCTCGAGTGCTGCTAGGCAGAGGAGAAAAAACTTGTAACTGTTCAGGTGTAATTTTGAGCAGTACTGCAGGCCTAGCGTAGGTAAGGAAGGCAAAAAATAGCAGTTGCAACGAAAGAATACAGATATTCACATACCAGGCTTTCTTTTAGGATGTTTGTGACTGGATTTTGCATAGTCACAGGAAGCTTGTGTGGGAAACGCTGAAGAAGAGGAGACTCTTCCATTCTCTGATAGGCAGCTTAAACAGTTTGCACTGGGATTTTGGTATGAATGGGTATAAGCTTATGAATTGTGATTTGTGACAAAAAAAAGGGCATGGCAGCACTGGTGTGAGGGAACAAATAAAGTGCTTCACCTGCTGCTCCTCACAGGTGAGAGTAATGAAATGTGAATGAAGTCCAGAAGACTGGATCTGTGAGCAGCGTTCTTTTACAAAAGAACAGTCAATGTCTTATCATAGCTTCAAGTAAGTCCCTCATATAGATTTAGGTATTCACCCCATACTGCTGTAACAGAAGGCACCACAGTCTCTACTCTGTAATTCCTTAACAATACTCTGTCAAGTATGAATGTTCCTATTTTCTAAACTGGGAGAGTGATATTGGGGAGTGCACCTGGCTTATAAAATGTGGGTATTTACTGTGTAGGTAGCTACTCCTAAACTGGGTATTTAAGTCCCCATTGTAGTGCAGAGAAGTCTGATCAATGGCATCAGGGGTTTGACTGATCTCATAGTTGCATTAGTGGTGCTGAATTACACCGTAAGCTCATTTGCCTGCTGACAGCCGACTGAACTGCAGCCACCAGCATTACAGACAGTTAAAGTCAGCTAAATAAATCCCAATAGAAATGTCTTGTCCCAGGTCAACCGGGAGGCCTGGGGAGGATCAAGGTGCTGATTACCTGTCTCCTGAGGCCCACTCTGAGAACTATTAACATCATTGTCATTATATCACCGCTTGGTTTATGCTCATGAGATGACCCCAGACAGCAGTTTGACATTTAGGAAGAAAAGGCTCAGTTAGTGTCCAGAAGACAGTGACATTTATTTCCATCTGCTTTTAGCCAGCCTTCTCCTAAGGTACTAATTGCCTTTATCGTCATGCCAACCACTAGGCTGTGCTTACAATTTATTGTGTTTAGACAGAGTGCTCGGTGCTCTGTGCAACCTGAACAAGGGCTATTTCTATTTTAATTAATTTATATCCTGCTTATCTGCTTCCTGCAGAGATCTTACGCTGCCTCTTTTTTCCAGGATATATTACACATAACATTGAGGAGAGATAATGAGATGGCTTAATTAACACTGTCGTTAGCCAACAATGTTGCTCTATTCCAGACCACACAGATATTCTTTGGTACTTAGGACAGAAAAATGGGAATAGCAGTCTGTACATGCCCTGTATGCATAATGCAGTGAATTGAAGCCCTCTCTGCCCTCTCAACCAGGGAGCCCAGAGCAAACCATTCTCCAGCTTCTTAACTCTGTCTTTTCTGACCATTACAAAGAGGAGGTTGGACCAGCTGATGGTGAAAACACCTGCACTTTGTTACAACCTGTCTGAATGTAGACACTGCTACTACCTATAAATATAAAGACTTTTTTTTTCTGTGGGGAAACCCTTAGGGGGCCTTTACTGTCTTCAGTCTTGAATTTATCATGTGAGATCAGCTGGAACACTTGATGTTACAGAAATTATCCGTTTCCTCAGAGCAGTATCAGTAAGAAGTTTGAATCTCATTCCCTTGTGTTATGGAGGGGGAAATATGTAATATTTGCTGTGTAAGCTTGTGAAACCTGTTTGTTATTTACATGGGAAAGGTATTCAAATAGGTATTAACTAAAATGATTGACAGATCAAGTATATGTAAGGTTGTCGCTTTTTTTTCCCCTCTAAATTTGTATTTCCAGTTATGTCAGTCATGGTAGATCTCAGTGATGAGCAGCAGTGTCTGTCATGGTGAAATTAAGTGTCATTACAATGTTTTAAAATACTGAATAATGGTTCCGCTCGGGAGTTTGATTGACTGCAGTGTACATACAACAGCAGTGGTTACGACTGAATGTTGGCATGCTGGTGCCTTCCCGTCTCCACCTTAGCACCATACTAGCTTCCTCATCGTCATCACAAGGTATATGAAGTAGAACTTCTACTGTTACTTACTTCTAGAAAGTGCATTTTTGACAGCAACTCTTGCCAATTATGTCCTTCTCAGAAACTCCAAAAAAAAAAAAAAAAATCTGTTATTTCTCACTCCTCCCCATGTCTCAAATATTTTACACTACAACAGGCTTTGAACACTAGGGTACTTTTAATTGTCTCATGGCACTCAGCTCACCAGTTAGCATTGGTGTACCTCATCTGCATTTAAAAAGTCACTGTAATCCAGATTAAATATAAGGCAAGAGTAAATCAGGGTCAGCAAAGGACAAATGGAACAGGTTTAACCAGACAAAGAGTTTTTCAGTAGTAACTGATGATGCACAAAGAATTTTTGGCTAATTTGGCTAATTGGCCTGAGTCTTTAGAGGAAAAAAGCAACAGTTGCAGTGAGTATGTGTTCTGGAGGGAAAACCCAGGCCGTTGAGAGATGCGGTATTTGGTTTGTTGAAATTCACTGCCATAGCTTGAAATTCTATTCTGTTTTGTGTAAATAGTGAGGGTTTTTATAGATAGCCTTTTTTCACCCGTGATCCAACTAAAGAATATCAGCGTAGGTTCCAAAGTGAGGTAAACTGTGGTAAGTTATTTTTGCCAAGGATAAGTGAAGCTTGCCCAGACCACATATCCCTTCCATGAAGCGCAAAAGAGGTTACATTGAATAAATAGTTCTGCATGTCAACAAGTGAAGTTTTCAGTTAAAAAAAAAAATCTATCAGCAGATCCTCTAGAACCTAAATGTGAGTTCTCATTTTTAGAGTGTGCCAGACAAATCTTGACCTCTGCAGTATATCTCAAAACACATATACAATTCTTTATGTTTTTTTTTTTTTCTGTATTGTTTTATAAAGTGGATAGCCCTCTTCAGACTAATTCCAGAAGCACCCAAGTGTTATTCCTTACAAGGAAAGCCCAGTCTAGATTTCCTGCCAACATTAGGTTTGATGTGCAGCTTATATTTTTCCTTTGATCTGGTTGGGGTGTTTTTTCTTTTGTTTTTTTTTAATTTTTTTTCTTTTTTTGTAGTGCCTCAGTGCCCCAAACAAGTCTGGGTTTTGTGATTTTTCTGGCATGCTTTTAGAAGCTTTACTATTTCTGATGTTCTGTCTCAAAATTCAAATGACAGCTTTGCTTACTTTGCCATGAGTCTTGATCTTAAATCAGAAACTGATAAAGAGAGTGGAATGTATTCAGAGTCAGTTCAAATAAGGGAAACCAGGATGAAAGGACAAAGGGACCAGAGTAAAGCTCATTTACACCCTCAGAATGGAAATAGGCATCTTATCACCTGATGCACTGCTAGTTGAGAACACAGTTGACATTCTCCAAAACCTGATAATGGAATGATAGTACTGTTTAGGCTGGAAAAGACCTTTAAGATCATCGAGTCCAACCGTTAACCTAACACTGCCACCTCAGAGAGCTTTTCCATCCACATCAGCATCCTTTGAATGAGGTTTCTGTCATTATCAGTCTGCCTAACTGCCCAGAAAACTAAGTAATAATAGGTTGATGTGCTCTTCTAGGTAACTGTTTGCTGGACCAACCAAGAAAGCAGATCCTGGGCCCTGAGGAGCTTCCGGGACAAACCTACGATGCCATTCGCCAGTGCAAACTGGCGTTTGGACCCGAATACACAGTGTGTCCTGGCATGGACGTGTGCTCTCGCCTCTGGTGTGCAGTCGTACGCCAAGGTCAGATGGTTTGTCTGACTAAGAAGCTGCCTGCTGTGGAGGGAACACCATGTGGAAAAGGGAGGATCTGCCTCCAGGGAAAATGTGTTGACAAAACCAAGAAGAAGTACTACTCAGTAAGTTACCAGCTGTGAACCCCAGGGAATTTTAGAAGGCATGATCCTCAAAGGTGCTAATTTCTGTGGGAGTGCAAGGGACTTTATGGAGGTCAGATTGTAAGCTGCCTTATTTTTTAGCACGTAATTGGAGTGTTATTGCTGAGGGATATAGGAAAAACGCTGCTGAGCTTCAGGAAGCACATTTCTTGGAAAACTGGGAGCACTGTTCAGAGTAAAAGATTTGCCCATTCAGTAAGTTGGGTCTCGGAACATACAGAAAGATTGTCAAGAACCTATTCTTATCTTCTTGACTACTTGAAGGTGGACTGCAAGGTAAACTAAATCTGTAACTCTAATTTACAGCCCTCGTAAAAGACCTAGGACCCTAACTCTAGTGAAGAGAAAGGTAGATGAAGTTCATCCAGTATATAATTTCTACAGCAGCAAAGCTTGTGCCTCCAGTGACAGTCCACTTTGTCAACTTTCTAAATCTGAAGAGTCCCCAGGCTCATAAGAACTGTCAACTGCACAGTTCATTACTGGGTATACAGTAGCACTGCCCCTTCTCTTTCACCCACAGAAGAGGTATGGACTTGTAGAGCTTTGTGAAGGTATTTGCAAACTATGAGAGTCATTCAAGTCGAGCTACAGCACCTAATACACCCGCTTTTAAGGAATGACATACTTCTACATGCTATTGCAAGACTCTTTCTAGGCAGCAAATTTAGCGTGGTTGCAAACTATATCTGACAACTACATCTCTCACCAGTAATTCAGAGCAATGCCTACACATCACAATAATTGCACATAATGAATCATAGGTTAGCCTTATAAACATATTCTGAGAGCCAAATCCCATGGAGTTTAAGTGGCCCTATTGGTAAGAGTAGTGAAAAAATGAGAGAGCAGCTCATGAGACTGTGGGCTTATTTCTGGTGCACGGGTGTCTTCCATGAAAAACGCTGAAGGTGGCTGTGCAGAGAGCCAGGCCTAATATTGCCTTTGCGTGCACAGTGCTAAGTGAGATGCCATCAATGTGCAGATAAAAGACAGAAATTAACTCTACTGGGAGAAAGGCATCACCTTCATCTGGGGGAAACATCAGCGGTGTCTTTGGGATGGAGCACATCTATTCGCACACGGATGATGTCCTTACCTCCCAATGTTCCCTGTATTTCAGGCTTCAAGCCACGGTAACTGGGGGTCGTGGGGACCTTGGGGGCAGTGCTCCCGCACGTGCGGCGGGGGCGTCCAGTTCGCGTACCGGCACTGCAACAACCCGGCCCCCAGGAACAACGGGCGGTACTGCACCGGCAAGAGGGCCATCTACCGCTCCTGCGGCGTCGCGCCCTGCCCGGCCCACGGTGAGTGCCACCCCCCTGCGC